AGAGAATGTTACTAGATGGCCTGTAAGTGATCAAATGGAGCCACAGTACCCAGCAGGGGCAATGACATCAAAGGCAGGACCCTTTAAGGCTCCTTCTTCTCCACTCCTCCTTCTACCACCCTTCACTCCCCACCCCGCTATCTCCAGGACTTACGGCCCACACATTCCTGGAACCTCTTGTATATCCAGGTATGACATCTTGCTCATGCCTCTATCACAGCATGGTCCACCCACTGGACTCACATGTCCACCTCCCACCATCTCCATCTGTCCCCACTGCATGGTGAGTCCCCCCCACCACCCATAGCACATACTTTGACCCATCATAATTTTTGTCTTTTTTTTTCTTTTGAGACAAGTCTCACTCTGTCACCCAGGCTGGAGTGCAGTGGTGTGATCTCAGCTCACTGCAACTTCTGCCTCCCAGGCTCAAACGATTCTCATGCCTCAGTCTCCCAAGTAGCTGGGATTACAGATCACCACCATGCCCGACTAATTTTTGTATTTTTCCTAGAGATGAGGTTTCACCATGTTGGTCAGGCTGGTCTCAAACTCCTGACCTTAGGTGATCCACTCACCTTGGTGTCCCAAAGTGCTTGGATTACAGGCGTGAGCCACCGCACCTGGCCCATGATTTCTTAACTATAGTTTTACACCATTTTACTTTTGATTTTAGAAGACAAGCAAGATCAGGCTGGGCGCGGTGGCTCACACCCGTAATCCCAGCACTTTGGGAGGCCGAGGCGGGCAGATCACGAGCTCAGTAGATCGAGACCATCCTGGCCAACTTGGTGAAACCCTGTCTCAAAAAAAAACAAATAAAAATTTTTTAAAAAGACAAGCAAGATTGTATCAGTTGGTTTTGGAAACAGAATGTGATCGATTTCAGCTCAGCCACTTAGAAACTATGGGGCCTTGGGCAAGTAACTAGCCTGCCTGTGCCTCGATTTTCCACAAGGATAAGAATACCTTCCCCGCAGAGCTGTATGAGAATGTAACAGTGATATGAAGGCACCAAGCAAGGTCAGTTCGGAAAACTCCAGGTTCTCTTTCATGAATAATGGTAGGGTTTTGGGGTTGGGTTTTTGTTTGTTCGTTTGTTTTGAGTCAGAGTCTCACTCTGTCACCCAGGCAGGAGTGTAGTGGTGCAATCCTGGCTCACTGCAACCTCTGCCTCCCAGGTTCAAGCAATTCTCCTGCTTCAGCCTCCTGAGTATCTGGAATTACAGGAATGTGCCACCACATCCAGCTAATTTTTGCATTTTTAGTAGAGAAGGGATTTCACCATGTTGGCCAGGCTGGTCTTGAACTCCTGACCTCAATTGATCTGCCCGACTCGGCCTCCCAAACTGCTGGGATTACAGGTGTGAGCCACTGCGCCCAATGGTTATTTTTTTAAGTGAAGAATTCAGGGTGAAGATCAAGTCTTCTCACACTAGGTGAGGATAATGAGCACTCAAAGACAATTCTCAGGAAACCAGGTGCACCTGTACACCATTACCCAGGATAAGAATGACGAATTTACTTGGAACTTCAGGTTTAAAATGAGATCATTTAAAGAACACTAAGAAAATCATAGTCTGGCTGGGCACAGTGGCTCCCACCTTTAATCCCAGCACTTGAGGAGGGTGAGGCAGGAAAATGGCTCAAGCCCAGAAGTTTGAGACCAGCCTGGGAAACAGTGAGACCCCCATCTCTAACAAAATTTAAAATTTACCTGGGTGTGGTGGTACATGCTTCTGTACCAGCTAGTAGGGAGGCTGAGGTGAGAGGATTGCTTGGGCCCAGAAGGTCAAGGCTGCAATGAGCTATCAGACCACTGCATTACAACCTGAGTGACAGAGTTAAGCACTGTCTCAAAAAATAAAATAGGGCCAGGCACAGTGGCTCATGCCTGTAATCCAAGCACTTTGGGAGGCGAAGGCAGGCGGATCACCTGAGGTCAGGAGTTCAAGACCAGTCTGGCCAACATAGTGAAACCCTGTCTCTACTAAAAGTGCAAAAATTAGCCAACGTGGTGGCGCACACCTGTAATCCCAGCTACTTAGGAGGTTGAGACAGGAGAATCACCTGAACCTGGGAGGCAGAGATTGCAGTGAGCTGAGATCATGCCATTGCACTCCAGCCTGTGAAACAAAAGAAAAACTCCATCTCGAAAAAGAAAAAGAAAAAAGAAAAAAATTAGCTAGGTGTGGTGGCAGGCACCTGTAGTCCCAACTATTCGGGAGGCTGAGATGGGTGAGTCGCTTGAATCTGGGAGCCGGAGGTTGCAGTGAGCTGAGATTGCACCACTGCACTTCAGCCTGGGCGATAGAGTGAGACTCGGAAATAACGGCATTTGGGGACACACGGCCTATGCGGAGGACATTATTAAACCTGTCCATGTGCAGAGGGGAGGAATGGGCATCCCAGCCATTTGCTTCTCCAGGCCAGGAGCTTCCTGGGAGTTCTGAGAGCTCCTAGAAGAGGGAGAAAGGCATACCGCCCCAGCGGATGGCATCTCTGTGCCTTCTCCATTCCTTCCAACAATGGTGTGCCGGAAACAGTGCTGGAAGAAGGGTCAGAAAGTCCAAATTCTGGTCCGAGGAGATGATTTGCTTCGAGTGGTCGTTGTCTGGCTCTGTTGCTCAAGCTGGAGTGCAGTGGTGCAATCCTGGCTCACTGCAACCTCCACCTCCCGGGCCCAAGCCATCCTCCCACCTCAGCCTCTGGAGTAGCTGGGACTACAGATGGGCTGATGGTTGTATTCTATTTATTTGTTTGTTTGTTTGTAGAGATGGAGTTTCACGATGTTGCCCAGGCTGGTCACGAACTCCTGAGCTCAAGGGATCCGCCCACGTCGGCCTCCCAAAGTGCTGGGATTACAGGCGCGAGCCACCGCGCCCGGCCTGCTCTGAGTTCTTGAGCGAATCACTTCCCCACTTGCTGTCTCAGTTTCCCCGTATGGCAATGAGGAATGGGATTGGTTCAGTGCCGGTCCGACGATCTTTTAAGGATTGTAGTGAATCATTACAGCCAGCAGAGGACGCCAGACCCTAAGGAGCAGATTTGAGTCATTCTTCAGACCTTCCAGCGGAGGGCGGAAAAGAGCCGCGATGAGACAGGGAAACCGACTGAGCAGCGGACTGAGATCCCCTAGAGACAGCGCTGCTCAGAAGAGCTCGGCTTGGGGACAGGGCAAGGAGCCGGGTCCCGGGCCTCATTTGGGGCAAGGCATTTTATCTCTCTGGGCTAGTGGCAGTTAGAGGTGACCTTGAGACTCTGAGAAAGTGGAGATTTTCTCTTCAGTTTGACACCTCTCTACATGGATTTGGAACTTTCTAACAATGTACTATTACTTTTGAAAGGTGGAAAATAATTATCTGGTGGGAGATTGTGGACCATATTTTCCTTATGCTTAAAAAAAAAATTTTAATGAGAATATTTTGTTGTTTTAAACGGGTGATCGATTATAAAGCTCAACAAATCATGGCACTATAACCACAGATGGAGAAGTGTTGCTCCCACTGTCATCCCCAACCCCTCCACTCTTTCCAGTCCTCTCCCCCCCCACCCCCCACTAGATCCTATGGGTAAGCACTTTTATTTTTTATTGTTCATTTATCCTTTCAGCGTTTCTTTCTTTCTTTCTTTTTGAGACAGAGTCTTGCTGGACGTGTCATCAGGCTGGAGTGCAGTGGTGTGATCTCGGCTCACTGCAACCTCCACCTCCCTGGTTCAAGCGATTTTCCTGCCTTAGACTCCCAAGTGTCTGGGAGTACAGGCGTGCACCACCACACCCAGCTAATTTTTATATTTTTAGTAGAGATGGGGTTTCACCATGTTGGCCAGGATGGTCTCGATCTCTTGACCTCATGATCCACCTGCCCCAGGCTCCCTAAGTGCTGGGATTACAGATGTGAGCCACCTCGCCCTGTGCTTTCAGTGTTTCTTTAAGCACAATCAAGCAAATACAGATGTCTTTTCTGGCCCCTACCCTTTGTTTTTTTGTTGTTGTTGTTTTCTTTCTTTTTCTTTCTTTTTCTTTCTTAGTTTCTTTCTTTTTCTTTCCTTCCTTCCTTCCTTCCTTCCTTCTTTCTTCTTTTCAGGGTCTCACTCTGTCACTCAGGCTGGAGTGCAGTGGCCCGTTCTCGGCTCACTGCAACCTCTGCCTCCCAGGCTCAAGCGATCTTCCCACCTTAGCCTCTGGAATAGATGGGATTACAGACACGCACCACCGTGCCCAGCTAATTTTTGTGATTTTTGTAGAGATGGGCTTTCGACATGTTTCCCATGTCGGTAGTGAACTCCTGAGCTCAAACAATTTGCCCACCCGGCCTCCCGAAGTGCTGAGATTACAGGTGTGAGCCACCACACTGGCTTTTTTTTTTTTTTTTTTTTTTTTTTTTTAACTTCTATGTGAAGTTCAGGGTAACGTGCAGGTTTGTTACACGGGTAAACTTGTATAGTGGGGGTTTGTTGTATAGATTATTTCATCACCCAGATACTAAGCCTAGTACCCGATTCTCTCCCTCCTCCCACCCTCCACCCTTTGATAGGCCCCAGTGTGTGTTGTTCCCCTCTGTGTGTCCATGTGGTCTCATCATTTATCTCCCACTTAAAAGCAAGAACATGCAGTATTTGGTTTCCTGTTCCTGCATTAGTTTGCTAAAGATAATAGCCTCCAGCTCCATCCATGTTCCTGAAAAGGACATGATATCCTTCTTTTTGATGGCTGCATAGTATTCCACGGTGTATATGTACCCCATTTTCTTTTTTTTCCAACACAAATGTTTATGTGATTTTAGCCATTACAACAGTAATTCAGAAATATCTCAAATGTTACATTGATGTCATCAATATTACAAAAAAAAAAAGAAGAAAAAAGTGACAGGCAACAGTGAAGAGCACCAGAGACCCAGCGCACACCTAAAGTGCACCATGCTTCTTTCCTTCGACTGCCAGGGTATCCTCCCGGGAAGCCTTCCTCCTCTGCTTTCCCTAACCCACCTCTAGGGCATCTACACCTCCTCCTCACCCTCCTCCTCCTCAAACTCCCCTTGTTCGTCGGCCATGACATCCTGGTACTGCTGGTACTCAGACACCAGGTCGTTCATGCTGCTCTCGGCCTCGGTGAACTCCATCTGGTCCATGCCCTCACACGTGTACCAGTGCAGGAAGGCCTTGTGCCGGAACATGGCCGTGAACTGCTCCGAGATGTGCTTGAACAGCTCCTGGATGGCCGTGCTCTTGGCAATGAAGGTGGCCGACGTCTTCAGGCCACCAGGCGGAATGTCGCACACGAATGTCTTCATGTTGTTGGGGATTCACTCCACGAAGTAGCTGCTGTTCTTGTTCTGCACGTTGAGCATCTGCTCATCCACCTCCTTCATGGACATGTGGCCCCGGAAGATGGCAGCCACCGTCAGGTAGTAGCTGTGGCGGGGGTCGCAGGTGGCCATTATGTTCTTGGAGTCGAACATCTGCTGGGTGAGCTCAGGCACCATGATCGTGCGGTACTGCTGGCTGCCTCAGCTGATCAGGGGCACTAAGCTGGCATGAAGAGGTGCAGGCATGGGAAGGGCACTGTGTTCACCACCAGCTTGTGCGGGTCTGCATTCAGCTGGCCCAGGAAGCGCAGGCGGATGGTGACCCCGCTCATGGTGGCTGACACCAGGTGTTGAGGTCCCCGTAGACGGGGGTGGTCAGTTTCAGGGTGTGGAAGCAGATGTCATACAGGGCCTCGTTTTCTATGCAATAGGTTTCATCTGTGTTTTCCACCAGCTGGTGGACAGAGAGGGTGGCATTGTAGGGCTCCACCACCGTGTCTGACGCCTTGGGTAAGGGCATGATGCTGGAAGTGTTCATGATGTGGTCTGGGTACTCCTCCCAGATCTTGCTGATTAGCAGAGTGCCCATCCTGGACCCCGTGCCACCCCCCAGAGAGTGGGTCAGCTGGAAGCCCTGGAGACAGTCACAGCTGACTCCTTCTTCACCACATCCAGGACCGAGTCTACCAGCTCAGCTCCCTCTGTGTGGTGGCCCCTGGCCCAGTTATTCCCAGCTCCGCTCTGGTCAAATACAAAATTGTCTGGTCTGAAGATCTGGTTGAATGGTCCAGACCTAACAGAATCCATCCTGCCTGGCTCCAGATCCACGAGGATGTCCAGGGGAACATATTTGTTACCAGTGCTTCGTTGTAGTAAACATTGATTCTCTCCAGCTGCAAATCACTGTCTCCATGGTAACAGCCAGTGGGGTCAATCCCATGTTCATCACTGATGATCTCCCAAAACCTGGCACCAATCTGGTTGCCACGCTGGCCAGCCACTGTGGGGTCACCGGGAAGGCACTCGGGAACCTACAGGCTGAGGCACATTTTCTTTATGCAGTCAACCACTGATGGGCAGTTAGGTTGATTCTGTGTCTTTGCTATTGTGAATAGTGCTGCAATGAACATGTGCATGCCTGTGTCTTTATGGTAGAACAATTTATATTCCTCTGGGTTTATACCCAGTAATGGGATCGCTGGGTTGAATTATAGTTGTTTTTAGGTCTTTGAAGAATAGCTACACTGTCTTCCACAGTGGTTGAATTAACTTACACACCCACCAGCAGTGGGGAAGCGGTCTGCTCTCGCTTTCTTACACAAATGTAGCATACTCTGTTACTGCTCCGCACCTTACTTTTCCCACCTAACCGTATGTCCTGGATATCTTGATGCCTTCCTAAAGAAACGTCTTGGGCTGGGCGCCGTGGCTCAAGCCTGTAATCCCAGCACTTTGGGAGGCTGAGACGGGTGGATCACGAGGTCAAGAGATCGAGACCATCCTGGTCAACATAGTGAAACCCCGTCTCTACTAAAAATACAAAAAATTAGCTGGGCATGGTGGCGCGTGCCTGTAATCCCAGCTACTCAGGAGGCTGAGGCAGGAGAATTGCCTGAACCCAGGAGGCGGAGGTTGCGGTGAGCCGAGATCACGCCATTGCACTCCAGCCTGGGTAACAAGAGCGAAACTCTGTCTCAAAAAAAAAAAAAAAAGAAAGAAACGTCTTTCCCATTTCCCTCTTTTCTAATGTAAGTATTTCATGCTATAAATTCCCCGCCTGGTAATGCTTTAGCCATGTCCTGCAGATTTTGATATGTTGCGTTTTCATTTTAATTCAGTTCAATGTAGTTTCATTTCCCTTGAGTCTTAACCCATGGATTATTTAGAAGTGTGTTACTTAGTTATCAAGTGTTTGCAGATTTTTCTTGCTATCTTTCTGTTAGCGGTTCCTAGTTTGATTCCATTGCAGTCAGAGGACCTACTTGTATGATTTCAATCCTTTTAAATTTGTTAAGATTTGTCTTATGCCTCAGGATATGGTGTATCTGATATATATTTTGTACACATTTGAAAAGAATGTATGTTCACTATTGTTGGGTCCCACGTTCTATTGGTGCTAATTAGCTCCAGTTGGTTGGTGCTACAGTTTTTCTGTATGCTTCTGTTTCTCTCTATTTATTCTATCAATTGTTGATAAAGGGCTGTTGAAGTCTCCAGTTAAATTGCAGATTTGTCTAGTTCTCTTTCCAGTTTGATCAGTTTTTGCTTCACATGCTTTACAGCTCTGCTGTTTTGTATATGCACATTTAGAATTACTATGTCTTCTTGGTAAATAAAAGATTGACCCTTTTATTACTATGCAATATCCCTCTCTGTCTCTGAAATTTTTTTTCTCAAGTCTACTTTATATGACATTAATATAGCCACTCTTCCCTTCTTTTTCCCCATGAACTCAACCAAGTGCTACCTTCTTTCTTTTGATGAATTTGCATGAAATATTTTTTCCATCCACTTACTTTCAATCTGCCTATATTTTTATATTTGAAGTGAGTTTCTTGTGGACAACATAGAGCTGTTCATGTTTTTTATTCTACTCTACCAATCTCTGCCTTTTAACTGATACATTTAAACCATTTATGTCTAATAGCTTAAGTCGGCCATTTTATTTTTTGGTTTTTGTTTGTTTCCTCTGGTTTATCTTTCTGTTTTCTTTTCCTTGTTGGTTACTGGAACATTTTACTTTTATGGTGAAAAGATAAGATATACCTATATTGGGGCCGGGTGCGGTGGCTCACGCCTGTAATCCCAGCACTTTGGGAGGCTGAGGTGGGTGGATCACGAGGTCAAGAGATCGAGACCATCCTGGTCAACAGGGTGAAACCCCATCTCTACTAAAGAAAATACAAAAAAAAAAAAAAATTAGCTGGGCATGGTGGCGCGTGCCTGTAATCCCAGCTACTCAGGAGGCTGAGGCAGGAGAATTGCCTGAACCCAGGAGACGGAGGTTGCGGTGAGCCGAGATCGCGCCATTGCACTCCAGCCTGGGTAACAAGAGCGAAACTCCGTCTCAAAAAAAAAAAAAAAAAAAAAAAAAAGAGAAAGGTTTAAAACAACAGTATTTTTTCCTTGTCTTTAGTTTTCAGAAGTTTGACTATAATGTGCCTTGGTACAAGTTTCACTGGGTTTATTCTGTTTGGAGTTTTCCCAGTTTCTTGAATCTGTTAAGTTTATGTCTTTTGCCAAATTTGGGCAACTAAAGTGGGGACTGTAGCTGTACTTGTGTCTTCAGCATACCTTTCATTCCTAGGGACCCATCCAGACACCACCCTTTTCTCCTCCCATCTTAACTTTTTTTTTTTTTTTTTTTTTTTGAAATAGTCTCACTTTGTTGCCCAAGCTGGAGTACAGTGGTGTGATCTCAGCTCAATGCAACCTCCACCTCCTGGGTTCAAGTAATTCTCTGCCTCAGCCTCCTGAGTAGACGTGATTACAGGCATGTGCTACCAGGCCCAGCTAATTTTTTGGATTTTTTTTTTTAAGAGACAGGGTTTCACCATGTTGGTCAGGCTGGTCTCAAACTCTTATTTTTTATTTATTTATTTTTTTGAGATGGAATTTCCCTCTTGTTGCCCAGTCTGGAGTGCAATGGCACAATCTCAGCTCAATGCAACCTCTGTCTCCTGGGTTCAAGCGATTCTCCTATCTCAGCCTCCCGAGTAACTGGGATTCCAGGCATGCACCACCACGCCTGGCTGATTTTTTTGTATTTTTAGCAGAGAAGACTTTTTTCCTTGTTCGTCAGGCTGGTCTTGAACTCCCAACCCAGGTAATCTGCCCATCTTGGCCTCCCAAAGTTCTGGGATTACAGGCATGAGTCACCACTCCTGGCCTGGTCTTGAACTCTTGACCTCAAATGATCTTCCTGCCTTGGCCTCCCAAAGTGCTAGATTACAGGCATGAGCTACCACACCTGGCCCCATCATAACTTCTAATATTATAGACTAATTTTGTTTGGATTTGATGCAGTCAGACAACATATGTTATTTTGTGTCTGGCATCTTTCACCCAACATTGTACAGTTTATTTGTATTACTGCACATACTTGTATGTAGTTCATTCATTCTCATGACTGCCTACTATTCTATATGAGTTGATGAATACCAACATGTATTTGTCCATTCTACTGGGACATGTAAACTGTTTCCAGTTTGGGAATATGTGCTATCTGAACCAAGACTGTCTCAAAAAAAAAAAAAAAAAAAAAAATCTTAAAAACAATAAGACGGTCATGAATAGTGTTGCTCTAAACATTCTTGTATGTATCTTTCGGTGCACAGATGAATGCATTTCTGTTGGATACATATCCAGGAAGAGAATTCTTGGGTCATAGGGTTGGCATCTGTTTAACTTTAGTAGATAACACCAGTTTTCTAAAGTGGTTGTACCTATTTGTATGCTCACCAACAGTTTACAAGGGTTTCCATATTCCACCCCACCGTACAGACTCTTTTCGTATTTGTTCTTTCTAATCCTTCAAACGACTCTGTCAGATAAACATTATCAAGGCTCAAAGAATGTAGATGATTTGCTGAAAGTCACACACCTAGTGTGGCAATGTTTCTTGGCTGGGCAGAGCAGGAGATCTGTTGAAACCGTCCGTGATAGAAGAGGCAACACTCTTCTCAAAGAAAGATCCTCTGAGGTTCTGGGTAAAATAAGACTGCTAAATGGCAACAAAAGCCAAAATTAACAAATAGGATCTAATTACACTAAAGAGCTTCTGCACAGCAAAAGAAACTGTCGTCAGAGTGAACAGGCAACCTAAAGAATGGGAGAAAATTTTTGCAATCTACCCATCGGACAAAGGGCTAATATCCAGAATCCACAAATAATTTAAACAAATTTCCAAGAAAAAAACAACCTCATCAAAAAGTGGGCAAAGGATATCAACAGATACTTCTCAAAAGAAGACATTCACGTGGCCAACAAATACATGAAAAAAAGCCCATCATCACTGGTCATGAGAGAAATGCAAATCAAAACCACGATGAGATACCATCTCATGCCAGTTAGAATGGTGACCATTAAAAAGTCAGGTAACAACAGATGCTGGAGAGGATGTGGAGAAATAGGAATGCTTTTACACTGTTGAAGGGAGTGTAAATTAGTTCAACCATTGTGGAAGACAGTATGGTGATTCCTCAAGGATCTAGAACCAGAAATACTATTTGACCCAGCAATCCCATTACTGGGTATATACCCACAGTATTATACATCATTCTACTATAAAGACACATATGCATGTATGTTTATTGCAACACTGTTCACAATAGCAAAGACTTGGAACCAACCCAAAATGCCCATCAATGATAGACTGGATAAAGAAAATGTGACACATAAACACCATGGGATACTATGCAGCCATAAAAAAGGATGGTTCACGTCCTTTGCAGGGGCATGAATGAAGCTGGAAACCATTATTCTTAGCAAACTAACAGAGGAACAGAAAACCAAACACCACATGTTCTCACTCATAAGTGGAAGTTGAACAATGAGAGCATGTGGACACAGGGAAGGGAACATCACACACTGGAGCCTGTCGGGGGGTGGGTGGGGGCAAGGGAAGGGATATCATTAGGAGAAATACCTAATGTAGACGACAGGTTGATGGGTGCAGCAAATCACCATGGCACGTGTGTGTATACCTATGTGACAAACCTGCATGTTCTGCATATGTATCCCAGAACTTAAAGTCTAATGATAAAAAAAATTCATTATCAGGTTCTGATTGCCATTGTTCTCAGATGCTTGTATTCAATGACAGCACAATAATCTACAATAAATAAATAAATCAGATGATTGCATTAATTTTTTTAAAAAAATCAATAAATAAGACTGCTAAGGACATGTGTCCACTCTGGTTTGCAAGCTACCCCGGAGCTCTGTGGTAGAGAACTTGAGCTTGGCCTATTATTGGCATTTAAACATGTGCA